TTTAGGCGTTCATCTAATGTCACACCCAAAACCTGGCGCTATTAAAAACTGGTATTTCATTGTCCTCTATCTGTAGCACCATGGGTGTCATTGCTAATAGTAGGGAACGAAATATTTGAAATGTAATTTTAGTGGGGTTAGAGTACAGGCAGTTACCACTGCTCCAATCACTGCCATGTTTAAGTCAACGTTTAGCTTTTGTAACACTACGGGGACGCTTTCATGAGAGGAAAATATGATTGTATCATCCGCATAAAAGAAGCAGTCATGCAGTATGACGAAGAGTTAGGAGTAAATCATCGATGAATAGCAGAAAAAGCAGAGGGCGTAGAATTGATCCTTGAGGCCCTTTTTTATTAGTAGTCTTAGGAGTGGAAACGCTACCGTCAATTCGGACATCTTACGTCTTGTTTTTTTTAAATAATTATTTTTATTTTTTTGTTTTTATTTTAACATATTGCAGCCCCTCTTGAGGCTATAGCAGGAGTGGGTACATCGCACAAAACCGTGCATCGAACAAGTTCAATAATGAAACAAAAGTAAAAAGAAAGAAAGAAAACATAGTAACGACGAAACCAGGTATTCGAAAGTCAACATAGAAGGAAGTGTACAGTTTTAGCGGCATGGTAAAGGGTTACATAAAATTGACCTAATATACACATCTAAGTACAAAAGTGCACTCGTACAAAGGGGGAAAGGAAACAAAGCGGTATATGTACGTAGTGTACAATAGTTGTATCTTAGAAGGAAATGTAAGCAAGTCAAGAGAGCGCACGTAGCCAGGCAACAAATTCCAACGCTCAATTGTTCGCGGAAAAAAGCTATATTTGAACGTGTCTGTGCGGGGAAACGTTAAGGGAGTGATTGCTTCTGGTCTGAGTGGGGCTTGCATATGTGACATATTTGTTCGATGACAGGTGATATGAACAGTGAATGATACGGTGAAAAATGGTTAGTGATTCAATTTCACGACGGGCAGCTAAGGTGGTTAGCTCTAGAGATACGAGGGCTGTGGTTGGTGAAAAAGCGCAGTCATACCTGCGACAGATGAATCGGATGGCTTTCTTTTGAACGGCTTCAATTTTGTTAATTTCGCCTTTTCGGTAAGGGTTCCACACGGAGCATGCGTAGTCGAGTGTCGGTCGGATTAGTGTTTTATACATCAGGAGTTTGGTGTCTTTCGGTGCTTGGCTGAGTGTGCGTCGAAGATAACCCAGTTTCTTAAGTGACTTTGTGCATACATATTCGATGTGTTTCGACCAGGATAGGTTACTTGTGAATATAATGCCAAGATACTTATATTCTGTAACTCTTTGGAGGTTTATGTCAGCGGATGAGTACGTGAAATTAGACAGGGAACGTTTGTGAGTATTTATAAGGCTCAATGCTGGACCTGTAACGCCGTAAGATGTAAGCTTGTGAAACTAAATTAAAATTTTAATAGCTTCAAAACATGTAGTAACATCAACAAAGACTGCCCCAAATAGTGAGCCGTCATCAATGGCAAATTTGATTTTGTCCGGGAAACTAGTAAACGCCAGTGTAGTTGCGAAACCTGGACGGAAACCAAACTGATGAAGAAAAAGCAGGTATATGACGTGAGGCAACTGCACAAAATATTTTCGATTACTTTACTAAAAAATGGAAGAATGCAAATCAGACGGTAATTGTTAAAATTTTTAGGATTACTGTTGTTGAAAACGGGAGTTATTTTGTCGTTTTTAACAGAGGTTACACATGTGCCGTTCATGAATATTTTGTGGATGATGCTAGAAAAAACAGGAGAAACTTTGGCTTTTAACAGTGGAACTCGTGAAGAGTGAATAGAATATAAACCCGCCCTGGTTGTTTTTAACGATGATATGACAGATGATATGTCAAATTTAACGATTATATGACAGATTGAACTTCAGCGCTAGAAGTAGGATATAACTAAAATGATTGCGGAGAGCGCGATAAGTGGGAAAGTGAAGGTCTCCGTTTATTGTTTTTGGCGTCGGCAAAATGGTCTTTAAAAACATTGGAAACGTCAATTGGCTCAGTGCATGTGCTGGAAGCAGTACTTCTTTTGTCCATCGCACATGGGAACCAGTTTTTTTCGGGACCTCCTTAGTTAGCTATCAGTTTCGTTTAGTATCAGTTCCATTAGGCAATATAGCACCAAGCATATTCGAATATTTCTTGTAGCAAATTTGTAGTGTTGTATTAAACCGTTCAAGCTTTCTACGCATTTTTTTTTGAAATTGAGTGCAATAGTTCGTTAGTGACCCATGGATTTCTTCCTCCTTAAACCACCGAGCAATAGGGACATGCGATGTGCTCTGTGTTATGCAGTGTGTTATTAGAGCAGAAAATAAGTGATAGGCTTGTTCAGAAAATTAATTTTCTGTGACATCAGAAAAATCTAGTTGGTTAATCAAGGAAACAAATGTTTTCTGTTAATTACCATTTCCAAGACTTGTTTATGATTTTTGGCAGGGGACAAGCCAAAAAATCATAAAAAAACATAATAATGGTCACGAAATTGAGAGTCTATCACCACCGCAAAAGCGTTCGTTGTCAAACTGGACAAAATGTGATCACTCAGTATATTTGTACCTGATGAATCACACCTATAGTAAGAGCTTTGAATAATCATGAGAAGCCAAAACTTTGAATAATGCGAACCTAATCCAAGCATGAATGACTGTAAAGCTGAAGTACGTTAATATTGATGTCACCCTATATGATCCCATTTTCGTTTTCAGGAACGAGAAGGTTTAAGAGGAGTTGAAGTTGCGAGAAAAATTAGCAATAGAGGAAGAGAGATAGCGGCACATTGGTGCAATGATAGTGTTTCTACCGTTCAGTGAAAATGCCATTTGGTTAAATTCAAGCCAAGACGGATTCGCAGTTTAAGTTAGTAAAGGAAAAGTCATAAAGGCGCTTATATGACAGCGACGAATCAATAAAGACTACAGAACCATCCGCCTCTGCGGGTTGAATCACAATTGCAACCCTGTGAAGTGCCATACAGATTATCGTGGTTATTTGCTAATCATGTCTCAGACAGGCATATGACTGAAAACGTGTGATCGATTCCTGATAGGAAGTGCACGAGGCCATCATGATGCTTTTTGAGGCTGCGGACATTGAAGTGAACGAATGGTAAAGCTGAAGAGGGGGGGGGGGGGGTATACATGGAAAAAGCTTTAGTCAGCTGATAAGAAAAAAGAGAGAAATCCATGGTTGTTCAAGATATTTTAAAGGTAACTATATATTAAATTATAGACAGATGGCCAGTATCGTGTATACGAAAGACGCGGCTCTCATCTTCTTTTCTGGCCTTTATTACGCCGGAAATGGTAAATAGATGCTTCCAATTCTTCGCTTTTTTTAGTTCCAAAGCCTGAGCACACATCCTATTATTTCCGGGGTGAGGTGATTGTTGACAAACACGGCTTTGAGTGTTTCATCCTTCTCTTTGCGAAAGTCAATGACGCCAGTCGTTACTCGTGCTTTCCGTGCTTTGAAAGCAAAGTTTGGTTTTTTTGTCCTAGAGCGAAATCTTCCTATAGTGTTGGATTCATTTTTCGCCGAGACACGGTAGACGACATTGATGTCCTTGGGCTCAACGGTGCACCCGAATTTTTTGCCGTACCATGGCAATCGATGTTATGCATTGATATTCCAACAGTTGATATCAATTGTAGTTAGGCACCATACACTGGCGCTACTGTTCTTCAAACATCCGTTGTAGCTGCAGCGCTGTCTCCTCAATTTTATTTGAATGTGTACTCTTATCTTATGACACAGCCGTCACGTCGCGTAAATTCTTCGCGTATATATATATATATAATATATATATATATATATATATATAATATATATATATATATATATATTAGAATGTGTGCATGCTGGAATTCCTTCTGAGTTTGCGGTTCGTGCTCACGTTCAAGACACCAGGGTTGACCAAATCGGTCCGTTTGTCACCTCTAAAGGCTCCCCGTAGAAACCGAAAAAAGATGGTTCATGTATTATGATCTCAAAATAACTCACTGCACTCTTTTAAGAGGGCCACTTCTCCCAACCCGCGGCATAGCACCGGAAAAAACTTAAAGCCCTCCCAGGCATGCGCCACGGCATTCGAAGGTCAACAGAAGAAAGCACACAGGACAAGGGGCTCACCAACAAGAAGTGTCTCTTCATCGTTTATTCAAACATAAACGTAAAAAAACAGAACCCAAAGAGAGGCGATAACAGAAAAAAAAAAGAAAATGCGTGCTTGCCTAAAGCTATGGCGTTATGAACCGAGATTTTTGCAAGAGCCTAATAATGTTCCTTCTCTTTTCCTGACAGAGGTAGCAGGTCACGCATCACATGCGCATTCGGCGTCCCGACTGTGGAAGAGAGGAAGAGAGAGAAAGAGAAAGAAAAGGAGAAAGTATAGTAAGAAAGAGGAGAGAAAGACAGAGATCGCGACAGAACTAAAAATTATAAAGCTGCTCCTGGGGCTCTCTCAAGGGGCACATGCATGTGCGCAGAGAGCATACCTAGGTAGCGAGATTTAAATTTCTTTTAAAATTTAAATCTATGTTCACTGACTAGAAACCCCATCCACCGGTTAGTTGAGAACTAGACCGAACATGTCTAATTACAGCATACAAAGAAAGAAAAAGTTATACAAAGTGATAAGGCAAGTGGCTCACACGTAAGAAGGCTACAAATATATATATATATATATATATATATATATATATATATATATATATATATACATATATATATATATATATATATATATATATATATATATATATATATATATGAAGTCACACTATAGCATGGTATGCTTTCATACCAAGGGCAATATAATGGAAGAAAACTCAACACGTGTGTACAAATATAGACGTATATATACTTGGTTAGTAAAAATATATATTGCGCACTGAAGCTCGCTCAAATCCTCGGCCATATCTCTCAATTCGTGACGTCACAGCAATCACTTGCCCTTTTGCTTTTTTTTTTCGCCCTACATATTTGCTTGTGTGTAGCTTTCTCTATGCAAAGCACCAACCTCTTCATTTTTTGAAAGCGAAGCACAAACACGCACATTATATAACACTTGGCTATTAGTTTTAACAAGTACTTTACTGAAATATTCACAAAAATAAAACTATACCACTCGCAATAACACCATACATCAGTCTTGCAAAGATATTCATGGGCCACAAGAAATCACAAGGCGTTAAAGAACAGCTGTTTGCTATGAAATATAAAGAACAGCGAAGTTTTAATTGTTTTTTGTGCGTTAAGTAGAGTTTGTCCCACGTTACCTTGCTATACGTTACTTTAAAAAAAATTAACAAAAAGAACAAGAACCATTCGCTCTTTTCGGCAAACGGTCTTTTTATTGCGATTTAGGAGGGGGAACGAATGATATTTACCTTTAACAAGGACAGCACACCGCTTGGTAAAGGCGTGATCTGTGGCCCGCTGCTCCTGAGTCAGTGTTAGTATGCGTTTGTTTGTTTTAGTAAATGTTGAGGCAGAATATGTGCAGAGTAAAAACAGCTGCGTCGTTGTATAATCCTAGACAGAAGACGGAGGGCAATAGATGTTAGTTCATCAAGCCACCTTGGCAAAAAAATGTAATTGGCACTCGAAATGTGAAAACACTTTGCCCTTCGGTACCTTATCACAGCTTTTCTTTTAAAGTGTACGCGCGTGTAGTTTGTAAAAGCTTTTCATCTCGTATATTGTTAATTATAAAAAAATGATTTCTTTTTTTCCACGAACAGCCATGCGTAAGCGGTGCTCTGTGAATTGGTTTCCACTTAAGAATAAAACAAATGGCCTACCGGGCAATGGTGGAGAACGCATGTACGATCCGCGAATGGACGGGCTTTACATAACACAGACAAACTTAAATAAGTAGTGAAAAACTCGAACTTCTCGAGAAAGTCTCTCTAAAAAAAAGACATTGTAAAATGTAACAAGTCCCGCGGTGCAGCTGCCCATGATGTATCTCCTTCAGCTCGTCGGCAACAACCTCCCCTTTTAGTTTCTCGGTCTGATAAAGATTACCACCAATTCTTTGCAGCCTGTTTATCAAATGTGTGTGTGCCGCGCGAAAACAAAAAAAAAGTTGCATCTCTGGTGCAAGTTCTCGCCGCATGTTGTTTACTATCCTGTTCACGGATGGATCATACATTTGCAGCTGAGCATATTCTAAATGCGTCAACCTGGCAGCTTTCTTCTTTCATTTCAATTAATACTTGTGTAAACTTCATGCTAGTAATTTATTTGTATTTTTATCAACTGTTTCTCGCTACCACGCCTTATAGTTTCGAGCAGGCGGTCAAGAAAGCTGTCTTTAGTTCAAGGAAAAAAAAAGATACCCAAGAACGTTAGAAGAACATGCACCAGGAATGCCACGTACCTAAACACTCCCCATATTTTATCTAGCATACCACGTCGGGGTGTTAACCGGCTCCACAGACCACGGCCTCCAGCTCTAATATAGCCCAATACGCCGTTACCTTTAATTAAATCACTGACGCAAAGTTTATGACATGAACACACGCAAGGAAAATTCATGCTGCGAGTCTCTGACTGGTAATCACCCAAGACGAATGAACAAATATGTGTTGTTAAAATGGCTCATTAAGATTAGCTCGGCAACTAGCGTGAGCATAAAAATTACGCGAAAGAGGCCGTGGTCTGAGGAGCAAGCGTGTGTGCGCGAAGGGAAAACGGAGGGAACAACGGGACGGCACGCAGTGTTAGGGCGTGGAGGTGTTGTGTAGCGTTCCCGCACATCTCCTGTACGGTGGGAGAACGTAGGGGAACCCTACGCGGCTCCGAGGAAAGGCGATCTACAGGTACTGGGAGGAATTTGGCGGTGGCCTGTAGGTGGGCGGCACGCCACAGCTGGCGTTCTGCTGGATGAACTCGTCGGGCCGGTGCAGGCCGCTGCGGCTCACGGGCCGCGGCACAAATTTGGGCGACGCCTCGGGCTGTGGCGGCGGCCAGGCGATGTCGCGCGTGCGGCGACCCAGAGACGGGGAGCGCGCGAACGGCGGCGTCCGCGAGCCCGACGTGGGCGACTGTGGCGGGTGCCACGCGTTCACGGCCGAGCGGCTCGGAGGCCGATACGGGAAGCCGCCGTCATCTCCATTGGCCACGCCGGACTTTGGCGGTGGCCACACGAACTGCTTGGCGCCCTGCGAACCTGCGCGCAAGGAGAGAATATATGCAGCGCTAGGTGATTGTTCATATTGCGCATATCACTTACGTCTGTTTCTGCACGAGTGCTAGCAGACGCCAGCTTGAGCCACGAGCTCAACGGCAAGCGTTGCCATGAAAATAAGATTCTACTCACGGTGCTACCGCACTGTTTTATACTATACGAGGGCGATTCTCGTGTATTTTACTATTAAAATGCTTTCTTGAGACCTTATCAGCATGAATGAGAGTGTTCCTTCAAGGTGAGAGATCTTGTATGGAAAGAGGAAGTACAGGTGAAAGCCTACGGATAGAAACACAATGTGCCATAGGTGCGATGAACAGCTGTAAGGATAAGATTGCGAATTTCGAGCCATCTTTTCTCCATGTAAACGGCTGAATGAAGCTTCTCCAAGTGTAATGTAACCTGGACTTCATCCTACACAAAACAACCCTGTTCACTGGCATTTCCCGACATGTCTACCTTTCTCACGGCCACAGCGGAGTACAGAAGCTCATTACTAATAGCAGAGTAGCCAGCAAGGACAAACACTCGGTTCACTGCCCTGCAGTGGGCAAAGAGAACTGAAAGAAGAGGACGATGACGACAGAACCTACATGTTTGTACCTTAACATGCGCACGCAAGAAAGCACTCAGTCTCCACTTCGATACAAGCATTCGCACAAAGTGGCGTATCTCAAGAAGCCCAACAACGCTTCCTTCGCTTTTACAAAGTACCGAGGCTAAAAACACTTGCGTATTGCAAAGTAACTTTTACTGTAAACATAATCAAGTGTTCACTAACTTTGACGTGTCAGTTGCGGAGAAAATCCCGTCTTAGGAGTCCATCGCACGCTCGATTCCTGAAAATAAGAAAAAAGAGTCGGTGTGAAGTGGAACCATAGCAATGTCTCTCTTAACAGTGGTAAAAATAAATTTAGCTCACTCTGTAACTTTTAGCGATATCTGTGTACCATTTACAAACATGAATATTTCAGAGTAATAAAAGCACTAAAACCTGGATACACTCAAGCACAATATCTTCCACAGAACAAACAATGCAGGCACTGCAGGAAATCACGAATATCAATTGGTATACCTTGAGGAAATAAATAAGTAGTATGGACTGCGCCCCTGTGAAAATGGCTATTCTAAACAAAGAAAAAAAACAAAAGGCATCAGACTCATAGCTGTGATTGCAGTCAAATATCATGGAGCCAGAGTCATGTTAAGAACCTTTGATCGTTACTGCATCACGTTAGCGAGTAATATAAAGTCACAAGATTACCAAAAACAAATTACTTGTGTTTGGTTTGCGGCTGATTGCAAGTTCTAAAGGGTTTGCGGTTGAACTTGTTTCTAATATGCGGCACTGTAAAGCCTTCGTGACTTTGTCTTGGCCCAATTTCAAGAACACTGTGCTGTTTTTGGTGTGCAAAATGACTTATATATGCGTTAAATGAAATGAGATAATACTCTAAACAGTATAGCATGGTGTATAACCAATCTGCAAGGCCGCCAGCCTCAAATTTAATATGCGTACCTAGTGTAGCACGTAAATATATTCTTACGGCGCGCAGACGGCATGCGTGTACGAGCTATAGGTGCAAAACGGTCGTAAACACCAGCGCTTAGGGGGATTCGAGAGTACGGTCCTGGATTTTCGGTGAGAACGATGGCCTATCTACCCTAAACATTTGCGTTCATAGCCCCCACCTTTGGCGGCCACACGTTGTCGCGCGCCCGGCGTGAGACGGTGGGCGATCCTAGTGGTGTGCCGGGCATCCTGGCCTGCTGTTCCTCCCAGATTCTAGTCTCCCAGCGCTGAGCTTGAGAGCCCACCTGCTCCTGGTGCTGGGGCGAGCTGGCCACAGCTGCACTTGGCTGAAAGCGCCTTTGGGCCTCTTGCTGGGCTTGCTGCACGTTCAGCGGTTCCCGCTGGGCGTTCTGGAAGCGCACCTGATGTTGTTGCTGCTGCTGCTGCTGCTGCTGCTGCTGCTGCTGCTGCTGCTGCTGCTGCTGCTGCTGCTGCTGCTGCTGCTGCTGCTGCGCTCTTCGCTGTTGCTCCTCGAGCTGCCGGCGGCGGGCGGCTTCTTGCTGCTGTACTTGATTCTGCTCCAAGTTCCTCCGCCTCAGCTCCTCGTCCCTACGCTTCTGCTCCTCGAGGTATCGCTGGTACTGCTGCTGGTGCTGCTGGTACTGCTCGTACTCCTGCTGCTCCTGACGCCGCTGGCGCTCCTGCTCCTCCTGCTCGAGTCGCCTTTGGCGCAATACCTCCTCCTGGCGCCTCTTGCTCTCTTCCTCCTGAATCACGCGTCGGCGGCGCTCCTCTTCTTCGCGAAGCCTCCTCTGCTCGGCCTCAAACTCGACACGCCGGAAGTCCTGTGGCGGCTGGCGGAAGCGCCCTTCTTCGTACTGCGCCTGCTGCAGCCGCTCTTCCTCGTATTGACGCTGCCTCAACTCGGCTTCCCGAATCTGCTGCTGACGCTGATCGACCTCTTCGTAGCTGCTCTGCCGCGCGTGCTGCACCGGATAGCTGGCTGGTTGTTGATGGTAAACTGGCTGCTGTTCATAAGCTGGTTGTTGGTAGCTGAACTGTTGGTAGCTAGGCTGCTGGTAGGTATGCAGTGGTGGTGGAGGTGGTATGTAGGTGTGATGCTGCTGGATAGGTGGCGTGCCGGGAGTTCCCGGGTTGGAGAATGTCACGTGGTGCCCGGACGAAGAGTACGGCCTCTCTGGTTGCGGCGGTCCTCCGCTATAAGATGGAGGCCGCGGTTTCGGTGGAGGTGTTGGAGGAGCAGTAGTCCTGCATAGAGTGACAACCGAGTTCACTTCTGTCTTGTTCTCGAGGCCAATGCACAAACATTACTCAGAACAAAACTCGTGCTTACTCGTACATATGGTAACATCTCCTTCATGTGCATATAAATCCGTTATGCAATAAAACCCATAGCGATTATTCACACGTGTATCTAACCAATTTAGAGGCAAATCTTCTTTTTCTTTCCGTAGTACAAACCTATCATAAAAAGTTACTGAGGCGAACAATCACACTAACACGTTTCTTGCACAAACCGCTCAGAACCACGAAAGCTGATTGCTTCATTAATGCAAGAGCTTACGCCTTTCATAGATTGATTTGTGGGGTTTAACGTCCCAACCTTTCATAGACTTAAGCTACTTTCGGTGTGAAAAACACAAGCTCGTTACTCATTCGCGGTTAAAATGTCGTTTTATTGTCTACGGTAGTTGCGCACGTCTCACGGTGCTTACCGCCAAATTACTGTTCAATCAGCAAAACTTCCTTCTAACTTCAGTTTCTTCTTCCCTTATAATACCTTTGTCACAATGTGTCAAAATGTACTTACAGGATATTTTCTTGGTATTAAAATAGATAGCGTGCGCAGCATATTATAGTGACGCCTGCTGCTTTTTGCTGCGCTAAAACATAGGGCTTAAAATAGATTAGATTAGATTTGTGGGATTTAACGTCCCAAAACCACCATATGATTATGAGAGACGCCGTAGTGGAGGGCTCCGGAAATTTTGACCACCTGGGGTTCTTTAACGTGCACCCAAATCTGAGTACACGGGCCTACAACATTCGCGCCTCCATCGGAAATGCAGCCGCCGCAGCCGGGATTTGAACCCGCGACCTGCGGGTCAGTAGCCGAGTACCTTAGCCACTAGACCACCGCGGCGGGGCGGCTTAATATAACGACAGATACACATATTTGCAATAACTTACCTCTGCACTGCAGTTGTCCCGTTCGCGGTTCGATATGGGTTTCCACCTGAAAAATACAAAAAGCGCAGACATCAGAATATCGTGAAATCACTGCAAGCGCGCATGACGTCTAACATGTTCAGTAACATTTAACAGAAAAATTGGGATTTTAATTTAGTCATGCACAGAATTCCCGAAGATTCACATAAAAGAGAAATGGCTGTTAGGCATAAAATAATCAATATAACACTACAAAGTAAACTGGGGATAAAATAATCATGCATCTGTCATATTCGCCGACTCTGTAGAAAATATTCTAAACGGCAACTATTGTCTTCCATCAGAACTATTTTAAGAAAGGAACTGCGTTTAAATATGTTCTCAATCCGGAAAGAACGAACTTTTTTATTTTATAATTAGGGACTGTTTTGTCAAATTTTGAAAATGCAAGCTGTCATGAGATGGTGTCCGGCGCAATAATTATGCTGACTAATATTTTTTTACTGCCAAATTGGAGTTACGCATTGACAACTACGCCCTTGACCAGTGTGAAAAAAAGTAAACACAAGATTATTTGGTATTCCCTTGGGTCTCGGCGTATCTTCTGGCCGGTGGACACATGATGAACCAGCTCAAATGATAAACAATTGAGCACGTATCACAACATGAACACACAAAAAACAGGTTGAATCAGTTCTTTTATCACAGTTTACCATTATCACCTTTTCTCTAAGAAACGTGGTTTCACGGGATAATTCGCGACGATGACTAAAGTGCACCAGCCAATAGAAATATCACTGTATCGACTAAAAGCTGGATTTTTGATAGCGATTTCAAATTACTGGGCAGCTACAAGAAGTAAACATCGCACTCTTATACGTTCTATAAAATTTAGTAAATATTAACTTGTTGAATAAATTAACGACCTTGGAATGCACAGCCGTCATAATAAATACAGAAAATGCCAAGAATGAGGGGAAGATAGAGGCTTGTGATAAACTATTCGTTAACTGGGAGTGTGCTGAGCCGACGTTCCGACAAGCGGGCGTTTTTTGTCAAGGCTGCAAGTGCTTTCCTGAGCGCATGTGTGTATATGCTTCGTAACCTCTGCTCCAAACCGAACAAATGAGGAAAGCACAACTACGATAGCTGGGGTGGGGATGGCGGAGAAAAACAGGACTCCCATTCTCGTCAAAGGTGTAAGACTTCCAAAAACCTTCAAGTTTACGTTACAGTTAAAAGCACCGCAAGCGCTTACGGTTGTTAAGGTCCACCTGCATCCATTTGAGTAGCCCCGCCCCATAGGTGAAGTGGCCGAAGGTGAAAGCGTAAACGAGCCTTAAAGGGCTGTACTCCGCCAGGCCTCTGTGTCTATTGGCAATTATCATCAGTAGCATATTGACTTCGTCTGTTGTATTCAAAATATGCAGTCTTGCTCTACAGTCTGGCTTAATAACTTGTATGTAGCATCTTAAGACCTTGCTTCTATCGTTTTACCTGATTGTGTTTCACCACGGATGTGGACGTTCACTCTGTGCTCACCTTTTGGAATGTAGCCTTCTGATTTTTCGCCTCTTCTGCGATTTTTAGTACCAAAAGCTCCGATTCAAGTGCCGTCAACTTCAAGCTCATGTCATTTATGTCTACAGTATGGACACTTTCTTGTAGTCTGGTCTCCATCTGTCCTACTTTGCTTTTGGCACTTAATGTTAAGTCATAAACGTATACCACGAAGTGTATATTTTCAAATTTTTACAAATTTATTGCAACCTTATATAGCCACTGGCCGATTAAATAGCATAGGTGAGGGCACTGCCCCTTACGTAGTGCCTCTATTTGCCAAAACTTTTGCGTTTGGTCTAATACGCTAAGCATGAGATGTGAAAACCTTATTTTAAAACCATCTTCATCCATGTTCAATGATTTCTTGTCTAGCCCCACCTAGGGAAGAACGTTAAGCATTCCCATGTGTTCGATGTGGTCGAAGGCTTTTTCCCCGTGTGATTTCTGGTGTGCACTGGGCGATGGCCTGTACACGTAGGTCTTGATTAGGGGCATAACGTCTTGAGTCAAGAGCCCAGGGTGAAAAGCGATCAGATTTGATGGGAGGATGTTTCCGATGGAGGCGGAAATGTTGTAGGCCCGTGTGCTCAGATTTGGGTGCACGTTAAAGAACCCCAGGTGGTCTAAATTTCCGGAGCCCTCCACTACGGCGTCTCTCATAATCATGTAGTGGTTTTGGGACGTTAAACCCCACATATCAATCAAATCAATTGATGGGAGGATGTCGTGTCCAACCTCTTTATCAAAACAGTGTTCATTTAAGGCAGTGGCCGCGAGCGGCCAGTTTCAAATAGCAGCGCGGCAAACGCACATGTCGAACTCGGGACCGCAAATGAGGCCGTGCGAAAAGTAAACGGTCGGTGAAAGCGAACGAATTCCCGGTGAGATAAAAAAAAAGAAGAGGCGGCGCCCGAGCAATCGAAAGCACTAGGTCTGGAACCCCCAGCGGTGGCGGTGGAGCGGCAAGCTTGCATACCCGGGCTAGTTTTAGCGCAGTGCGTCGTCGCGTCTTGCTGGCGTCTCTGCTTGGGCTCGGCCCAAGAGCCGGTTTATTTTGGCGCAGAGACATTCCGCTGCAGAGACGGCGGCCGTTTTGCGGCGCAGCGGTGTAAGCAAGCGGCAAGGGCGGGACGGGTCCTGGGCTTTCTCATTTAGCAGTCTTCGCTCTTGCTATGCGCAGTGGCCGGGCATCCTGTGTCTCGATTTCCGCCCCTAAAATTTATTAACACACTCGCAATCTTCGCACTACGCCACCTCAGTTCCATGCTCCTCTTCACTTTCGTTCTTACCAGCCAACAGAAATAACTGCCGGCCGCGCGTCACCATCGCTAGGTGCCGTAGGACGGTCTAACGTTACAAGTCTACTGCGGAAGTGCACGTAACACATCAAATAAGCTGCTGTCAAGTCGCGAAATTGGCCGTGGTAGCGTTTGGTTGTGCAACATGACGGAGCGACAAGATTTATGGGCACTCTGCAGCGTCTGTGATATAAATAAATACAACCCCCCGCAACGGCAATGCACTTCGGAAATTGTGTATCGCGACAAATCTGAAGTAGCAGTTAACGACAGTGCTAGCTACATTGACACAAACTGTGTCCACAGATCTTATCATAGGCCGGGATTTATGACTCCTGAACCAGACGTCATATATTGCGCAGAAAATGTGGGAACAGGCGGAAACGGCAAAAGGAGAACCGTGATAACGGTGTTTGTTATTGCGTGCGTGGTGCCTAATGTTCGCAAGCCATTGTTTTGCAGTTCGGTTGATCGGTCATCAAACTGACAGTGAAGCAAGTGGTGCATCGACAGCTGTCAACTGGAGTCATGTATATGTACGCTTCTGAAAATAGGCGAGATGGGGTAAAGCGTTCAGTCTAAATAGGTGGATGACCGCTGTTGTTATAATTTATGGCCGACTAACTAAGACGAATCAAAGGAATAAGGCTGTTCCAAATTGCTTCTTAAAGTTTTCTCCCAGGCTGCACTCAGACTATTTGTGTTGAAAATACTCGCACGTTTGACTTTATCAGTCGTAGATCTATGCCATATGTATACTGAATCACTCAATCAATCAATCAATTTATTATTATTATTATTTATTATTATTATTATTATTATTATTATTTATTATTATTATTATTATTATTATTATTATTATATTATTATTATTAATTATATTATTATTATTATTATTATTATTATTATTATTATTATTATTATTATTATTATTATTATTATTATTATTATTATTATTATTATTATTATTATTATTATTATTATTATTATTATTATTATTATTATTATTATTATTATTATTATTATTATTATTATTATTTGTGGATTTACGTTCCGTAACCACGATATTCTTATGAGGGACACAGCAGTGGAGGGCTCCGGTAATTTTGACCATCTGGCGTTCTTTAGCATGCCCATACATCACACAGCATGGGGGCCTCTAGAATTTCGCCCCTATCAAAATGTGACCACTGCGGCCGGTATGCAAGCCGCGAACTTCAGGTGAACCTCTGAGCATCGCAACCACTCATCTGCCGTGGCATATTCCTAAATAAATTCAAACCAGTGCGTTAAACACTAGAAAACCAATCAAAAGGTTTAAAATTTAGCGGTAACGAATTTTTATAGCTTTCATTGCGTGTTGGCTTCTTAAACATTGATGTTTCTTCCCCTAATGGAACGTCACGAGTCCACTGCACCTTAGATTTTCATTCTCGTCCTATCTATCACAACAAGTGGCGCACGCGCTGCACAGATTGCGGTCTTACCAATGTCGTCTTCGCTCAGAGCCTGTAGGACAGCGGAGCGAACGAGGTTCTGGGGCAGCCCCACGGGTTGGATGTTGTTGACCCTGCACACAACGTAACAGATTCGTGAGTAAGCTACAATGCGAAATGAAAACAGTTTAGGAACGAATATTCACCGCGCTGCAAGAACAAAGCCTCAGATCTAGACAAGCATACGACGTTTGTTTACAATGATAGTTTCTAATCGCACCCGTGCGTCCTTTCTGAACTTGTAATAAAACCCGCTCAAGTTATAACTGGTATTGACTTTTCACCAATTACGATACTCTCACCATTTGTGCATCCACGATTGCTGCAAAAATGGCAAAAGACCTTCGTCGACAGTACTATGCGTACGAGCAAAGAACTCAAAATACCTGCCACAAGCCTCATCTATAAAAAGCTAATGGATACAGCTAAATGTCTCAAAGAAATCGCCTAGTAACTTGTTGAAGTGCTAGAACTACTACGACTTGTCACTAAGCCAACCTACAAAAGAAATGCTTCGGAAGAGCTGCAACTTTTTTGTTTTGGTATTATGTTGTGCATGGGCCCATTGAAAATGGCAGGCGTTAACCAATTTCTCAAGTGAAAAGCCAATGTTTGCAAGTCGCATCACAACCAAGGTGCTATTAAGATCTTCAGCACACGTTTGATTTTATTCTTCGTGCACTTAAACAACTTTTGTTTGTTTGTAATTGTTAAAGGTGGAACATTTTGAAAATAGTTTTTTGGCTAATTTCAATGCTACCTTCACGTCACTAGTACAGTTGCCAATGGCAAACGACACTCAGCTTTCTTGAAGAAAAAAACGCCCCCTATGCGATATGCGAAGCACACTATACGCACAGCACAATACACGGGTTCTAACAAATTAACCTTGGAAATCTTTCTGTTGGATAAATAACGCTGAGAACCACCTGGATTTGATAACATATTTATTTGGCACAATGGCAACACGAATAAGGCGAGCATATTAAGAAATTTGTCGCGTTGGACGATAATGTGAGATTGCTATTTCGTTTTGAAGACTGACTTAAAAAACTAAGCTTTATTTCCCTACCTAGTCAATGTTTGTTAAGTTTGTTGTTGGCTCTCTGTTTCTTGATAGGCCAACACCTCTATCTGCAACCCAAAGCCTACATTGACAGACTTTCTTTGTTTATTTATTTATTTATTTATTTATTTATTTATTTATTTATTTATTTATTTATTTATTTATGATTGCAAATGAAGCTTTTAAGGTATAAAACGAAGTTTGTTCACTTGTTTCATTTGTTTTTGCTATTGAATGTTTTCATCACTAACCTCGTCGTATGCCCCAAGATACTTTTCAATATTTTATATACAGGGAACCTGTTTTGGCGTGAACATTCTACCACTGCTTTCAGGTTTGCGCATAAAAATGGTAAGACAGGCGACTGATTTATGTCTTATTTTCCGCTTTTGGAAGCCGTCTTCGTTTTGTGCACGCACGTTCTTTCTACACCCACCCGTATATTTCCGCAGTAATCAATGAATAACTTTATCGCGCTTAATCCACTCTGCCACGTTCTAAATGAGATTTCTTTCTTCAGTGAGTTTTTCCAACAACTAATGAAGTTTACCGATGCAATCACAGACTGCCTACCGGGTATAACGTAAATTTCTTTGATCACCAGACATCGAGACGTCTATGAACATCTTCAGTTTGCCAGGTATCATAGTGTCTCAAGCTGACGTAAATGACCCCAACAGTATTCGGGCTCACTTGGCAAGGAAGCACATGAGCACTTGACATTATCACGTCATCACCGCTACGCTTCTTGACGTTATTTGACTACAACAGGTGTAACCTATGCTGGCGTACCAGCCTTGAAAATGCGGGCATGTTTTCAAGCAACAGTTATGGGATAATGTAGACTTTCGAAAGACTCTGAACGTGAATTCGCATCGGAGAATCTTTTTTTGAACCTAATGAGATAAATAAAACAATCATACAGCAGGGAGCGACCATTATGGCAACCTTACGACACCAGTTTTTTGTCAGTGCTTCTGTAAAACACAGCAAAGTCATTCCATATATGCTCGTACAGGTTGTAGAGCTTTACCTAGGCCAGTTAAAGTAAAATATCATTGGAATCGTAATAAAAATGAAAAACCAACTTGAAACACGTACTAGTGTATTGTTGCATGTGGTACTGATTTCTTAACAGCAATATGAATAAATAACATTTTGCCTCGACGTAATTTCTCGTTCGCTTATGAAAGCTAAACCTGACTCTCAGAATGAGCACGCCAACTGACATCATGGAATGACATCATGGGTTACTGGCGTGTCTACGCATAAGTATCTCGAAGCACGGTACATAGACAGCCTCGCAGCAGTTTGGTTTAATCCGTTCTTTTTTAGGACGTTAGTCTTTCTTGGGATATTTGAACGTAGAAATGTTGGTATGTCTGTCTTCCTGCCTGTCTGTTTGTCACACAATTCCGCCACCCAGCGAAAGTTGAACTTGAAGAACTTGCTGAATGCCCAGCCATCTTGAACTGATGGCTGCGTTCATACACGTGAACGTTGTCGATCAAAAGAGAAAATATTGCTCATATCTGCGGTCCAACATTAATACGTAAGTGTTTTCCTAAGAGTGTGGTTGCAGATTGGGACTGCGGTATCTGGCCAATCTTTCCTCTAATTCCCCATTTGCTTCTCACTTTCGGGTCATGTCGCCACAGAGCTTGTTTTGCAAGAAATTAAATTTTGTAACTGCCTCCTGCAATGCGATCGGCCATCTCCATAGCAATATTTTCGTTCTCACACTGATCGCCTTCTTGATTAATGGGTGTCCTTACGCTGGCCAATGAATACGCTCCTTTAAGCTTCACATAAATTCCCAGGTGGGCACAGGTTTCCAACTTCCACTCGTATCATTCTTTGTTATTGTATATTTTCTTTTTCGTTCACTGCAAGGTCGAACTAATTTCCAGTTTCCCTCGATCGCGGCCGCTTCTAAATTGCGTGGGCACATACCAGAAATTATTCTTTCTCCCCAAGCAAAACAGTTGCGTCTTTTAGCAATGCGATCAGTGTAGAGCGCATTTTCTCGCTCGCTCGCTCGTACTGCCATGCCTGACGCCTGGCAGAGCGTCAAAAGTTCCCCGTCGTCATGCGCCCACCTACTTTTCGGCGTGACACACCAAGTTATTTAAAGACGCTTTGTTCATTCGCTCTTTGTTCAGCTTCTATAAGAGTGTCCGTCTTTCGAATACCGCTATGAGCAGACTAACGCTTCGCGAGTATGTATACTGCTTCACATCTCATTGGTCTGTCCCCACATGTTCTCCTCTCCACCTATAGTCAACTCGTTGAACTAGTTTGCCCCACTGACAAATTTGTCGGGCTTCACGCCTCTTGCTAGTACACATATAGCCGTCCTACTTTCCCGGCTACCTCCAGTATGCACTGGCTTCGTAGGCATCACTTTAATGAGACGCTGAAGGGAACGAAGTGTTCAGTCAAGACTGATAAATTGTTCTTGAGAAGGTATATTTTCGTTAATTTTATCGTAGGAGGCTGATGAAGGTGATATTAAAAGCAGAGGTTAGATTTGTTGTATCATTCAGGCCATAGCCTGATCGCTGGTACTTACGTCAGCGCAACGCCATGAATGTAGCACGTTGTTTTACATTTCGGCCACAGCATACGCGAATTAAAAGTTCTGAATTCCTTTAAGATCAGTATTTAGCCTACTTGGAATACAACGCAGTCTACTCCTACCAAGGAAAAGCGTTATGTAGGCATCATTAAGCGCTGTTGGAATCTGTGACATCATTTTCAGTCGGTGATAAAACTTCAAGGCAACGTTGCCAACTCGCTTTCGTTTTTATGACGTTTTTCGCTTACAATGCACCATTCCTGTCGAGATAAATGTGGCTCTTTCTGGCACAGTAGAAAGCAAAATATACTTATACAAATAGACTTGATTTTTATATTTGTGGTCACTTCAAAAGATTTAAGAGCCAGCGGCACTGTTGAAGTTTCTTCAAGATAACTGTGCCTGCGAGAGGTGAGCATCTCATTGCAACAGTTATGCTTCAGCACTTTACTGTAAACTGTACACGGTCAGTGATCATGTTACGCGATCTTGCCATGTACGCCTTGATTAAGAATATGTGCACTATATGGCACTAGCATAAAGCAATATGTTATGCATACTGGCAGCTACATTCGTAATAATTGCTTGAAGCACAACTTCAATTGACTTACGATGCGCATGAGATGTGTTGTGAATACGTGTGTTAACATTTTCAATGACTGGCGTAGGACCTGGTGAAGTGAGGGTATCGTGCAGGTCAGACCAACTCCTCACACCATCATGGTCCTTTCCAAAGGTTATTCCCACCGCCTGTCATTAAAGTACTTTTTCAACAACAAAGAGAACCTCTGAACCCTTCACATCAAAAGTGGAATTCCTTCACGATCACTTCTAATTTTCTTTAGATTATGAAATTGTCGCTTTTACTGACTGAATGAACGGGTGATATTCGTAACGCATGAACGCGTGCGTATTCGGACAATTCATGTGTGTATTCATTGGCATCGGTCTGTAGTCGGCTCGGGAGACGGAGCAGGTGAAAGGAAAAACGAGGTTAGCATTTTCTTGCCGCACGACTGCTTGAATGACTGAGGCCACCGGAGGTGTTTCGACGGTGCCGCTACTGCGAAGCTTCGTGGCGAGGATGGGGAACGTTCCACCTCCACCAAACATGTTACGGAAGAGAAGAGACGCCGTATCAACGAGGCTGTGGACGAGATATATTTCAAACTAGCAGCAGCGGCGTGACCGGTTGACCAGCCACCGAGTGGAGACAACCCTTCGTTCTTTTCGTCATGCACACACGCGCATCGTCCCACAAAATGTCTGAATTCATGCAGCAATATTGTCCTGGACTTTCACTTATGCCTCCGCTGAGGTTACGATGCTCCGTTTTTAACTTTTGATGGACACGTGATGACACATATACGGTATTCCCCGCTACGAATAAGGGCGCAATATTTACTTGTTTGAAATGCTTGTTTCACAAAAGTCAGTGTGGCATACATATACAACGTTATGTGCTCCTGCATGAATGCGGTGTTAAACAGATTGGGGTGCAAGTTGCGCTCACCCGTCCTCGGCGGTGATGGCCTGGGCGTGATAGGCCAAAGTCTCGGCGACTTTTTCCTGCGAGTAGAGCTGCAGGGGCGAGTTGTACTGGTTGTGTACAACGGCCTTCACTGTCGAGGGCTCGCCCTGCAAACAGGTAGCGAACACAAGCGATAAGAGCGAAAGTGTACTAGCAAATAACATTGCTGTTCACAAATGACGGCGCGTGCTCGAAATTGTTGAAACTAAAACACATGTCCATCTAGAAAGAAAAGTTACATTAACAAGGTTGCATTGCTGTTCCGCGTTTAAAGTGCATCAATAGCCCCGCCGCGGTGGTCTAGTGGCTAAGGTACTCGGCTGCTGACCCGCAGGTCGCGGGTTCAAATCCCGGCTGCGGCGGCTGCATTTCCGATGGAGGCGGAAATGTTGTAGGCCCGTATGCTCAGATTTGGGTGCACGTTAAAGAACCCCAGGTGGTCTAAATTTCCGGAGCCCTCCACTACGGCGTCTCTCATAATCATATGGTGGTTTTGGGACGTTAAACCCCACATATCAATCAATCAAAGTGCATCAATAATTACTTTTCTTTAATTATGGAGCTTAACTCATGGGCTCGGATAGACATATTAGTATGCCTTCCGCGCAGCCTTACAGCAAAAGTTAGAAATGTATACCACCGGGTTCTGGCGCAACGAGAAGGGAAGTCAGTCATTCGTGTTTGTATCAATAGAATACTTTAGTTGCTCTTCTGTTATTCAAGAATTGAATAGTTATGTTGTCCACCTATCCAGGTGGTTCAACGGTTACGGTAATTGGCTGCTGTCCTGAAAGTCGCAACTTCGGTCCTTGCCACGAAGGCCGAATTTAAATAAATGCAAAATGCTAACGCCCCGTGTGCTGTATGATGTCACTGCAAGCACCAAATTGTCGTAAATATCCTGAGCTTTTCGCCACGGCGCCTCTCATATTCCGAGTCACATTAAGACGTTAAACCTCATCAACAGGCTAGCCAACCGAAACATTTACCAGATTATCAGGCGGTATGACTTCTTTGTCAGATCGCCGCAGTAAATTTACTCCTTCAGTCGATGTAGCCTCTGAGGATGGAGATGAATGTCTTTACTATGTGCTCTCTAGTTTTCTAATTTATCCGTTTCGGCCAATTTTACAAGGTGCACCCGCGACCATACCAGACATCTCTGTGATATATGCACTGTATAAAAAAGAGCCCTCTGACTTTTTATTCAGGAGTTCTGACTTGCCGCATATGTGACTCTCTTTATGAAGGCGTGTCCAGTCTATTTCGAAATCATTATATTCTTTTCGGAGAGTCATATGACCCATAAGAGTGTTAACATGTCTCCTTTATAGAGAGCCATATACGTGACAAGTCAGGGCTACCCGAAAGGATTCACACATAATCTTTTTTTTCTTACAGTGTATGTTTTAACCTTCCTTCCTAGTGTTTACGCCTCTTATTGTCTCAAACCTCAGGTCTTTTATACTAAGAGCACTAAGTGAAATATTGTGCTGTTTATTGAGAACTGGCCGGGCACGTAGCACCTAGGCAAGATAACCGCTGGTCATTAAAAGCAATGGATTCCTAAAAAAGATGCGAGGGGGAGACAAGTTAGGTGGGCTGATGAGATGAAAAAGTATGCAAGTATAAAGTGAAAGCAGAAAGCACAAGACCAGATTGATTGACAGATCATGGGAGGGGCCTTTGCGCTGCATGGGCGCAGTCAAGATGATGATGATGATTGTGCTAAAAAAACGAGCCCTTAAAATGTCCACTTCTTTCCTTCATTCGGTTTGATGTGTGTACGGACATGTTGGAAAGGCAATCAGTTTCTTCAACAAGCCTGTTTTACGGAACAAGATCAAATAATGGCTTACCTTTCTCGGCTTCTGGAGAAAGTCTTCTCTGCAAAATAAATAATAAACAAATTTGAGTGGGCAGCCTTTTACGTGCACATATCATGTATCAATGATGCCTCCACAGTGGGTCCGTATTTACGTCTGCTCGAGTGATATTGTCACGATGCTGTTTTTCTCACGGTATTGATAAATGAAGTCTTGAATTTCTCTAAAGTGCATTGCGTTCATGCAACATATATGATCCAGAATACATGCATTGACGATTAGTTTTTTATTTCGTGGTATTCGTGTCGGTATTAATTTCGAATGCAAGTTACAGGTACTACAAGAGTCAGCTACGGGTACTGAACACGGTAATAGATGAGAAATATATTTAACTTGTCCCTGCCTAAAAGTTCAAAAGATCTGCTAGCAAATGAAAGGCTCCTAGATTTGTTGTCTCCACAAGCTAAGGCACTTCACCGTAGCTCTATCGCTACAGCATCATGCTACAACGAAGACCTCAATGACCTACATGGGAAGCAAAACAGCATCGCGTTGCATCGTCGGCTTAGGCGAACCGGTTAGCTTGATAAATGACCGGGAGATGGACTGCGGTACTCTCGTTACATACTATAACACTGGTGACCAGAAGAGTACTGACTGTTCTGTCCTGCATGCAGGACTTAATTAATCTCATCAGGTTGCGTAATGAGTACTGCTGCAAGTTAATGTCAATCTTACTGCTTTATTTCTTTATTTACGAAGTGTGGCAGGGACATAACTGCCTTCTTTGTTTTCTTTGGCACTCGGTTACTACACCTACGACATGCCTGGAAGGAAGGTGGAACTATATGCATACTCAAAGCGTGCGACATGAAGCAACGCTTACGATAGACCAGCTTTCTTGCAGCGCAAATCGTATATTTCGACGAGGAAATCCAGCAAAAAAAATAGCAGAACGGTTCCGTACACACTGAGTTCCGCAGAGCACCTGCAACTTACTTTGTGTTAGTCACACGCACGATCAGGTATTCTGAGCGACAAGATCGTTCAAGCTGGACACACAGCGAAGTATTTCATTCGTCTTATGATATGTCCTTTTTCTCATTTTATACCCCCTCCCTCCACTTTATCTGATGCCTTGTAAAAAGCCTTTACAAGATTAATAAATGCTGTTTATGATAATGTAGTACAGCACTCGCGGTTACATTCCCGTGAAATGCGAAACAACATCAACCCACGCAGTTTTTGACATCCATATATACTGTTACTCAATTTAAAACTATATATGTACAAGAACACACCAGGTCCTTTGAAGAAAACAGACGTGATTCGTTCTATGTTCCCCAAGCATATTGTTTTACAAGGTGTTTAGGGTAAAACATCGCAGTACGTATAAACTGCACCAGAAGCTGATGAAAATATTTCTACTCCAACTCTTCCAGTTTCAATGAAGAGTCTATTAAATTAGAAAACAGTGACCATGCTTTCTTCTTCATTTGTGTTCTTGCACATTTGCTGCGATTCATAAGAGAAATATATAATCGGCTGTATTTTGACAGCGTAACACAGAAGCGAGAGCTTTACCACTCGTACCGTTTTCATTGATTGCTTTGATCTGCAGCGATATTACCACTCGTCCTGAGTGCATGCATGCGTTATTTCTCTGGTGTCACCTTTGCAGTTGAGGCCAACGGCTTGACTACCAATAACAATCATGCTTCATCTCGTAGAGGTTATAATTTCATCGTGGCTACTTTCCAGGCCGTGCAGAATCCACCCCCCCTCCCCCCCGCCCCAACCATGAGGCTTTTTTCAGTTGCATGGGCCGCGTAAGGCAAGGATGCCTGTGCGAGCCTTCGGCGTGTTCTAAACTGACAGGTTGCATGTGCCAAAAATCAAGGGCTTTGTGAGCCGCCTCCAACGTGTGGCTTTTAAAGTGAAACGGCTCAAAATAAGCGCCTCTGCTGCTGAGCGCCAAGTCGTGGGGCACCCCTACGACGTTCATTGCAGTGTTTCTTGTGTTTTGGACATTTTTTATGTCCTTTAGTCCATGCTCTATGCCACGTCTTTCGCTCTATTCCGCCATCGAACGTGTGTTAGAAATTCATCTCGAAAGCTGTAGCCTTGATACCGCCAAGCATCGCGCGCGCGCAGTGCATGCACGATGATTTAGGTAGTATGACGTCCTTCACAATGGCTTCAATATAAAACTTATAACTCCTCTCCAGCCATTCACAAGGCATCGAACACACAAATTACGCAGAAATCCCACGTTTCCCCAAATTCATTACGCAGTGCCAAACAAGACTCAAGAAATGCAGTATATACTTAGTCTAATATATACGACCCTACACGATCGCTTGCTCTGCTTAATTTCCTCCAGGAAACTAACCTAGCTCCTCGTTTGGGGAGTACTTCGACTGTGTTGTGGTTCAAGCGTCTCTGTTCCGTTCTTTCTTGCACCCTCGTTTCCCTTTCATTTCTTCACTTTTGCCCTTGTGCCCTGGGCAGTTATTTCTTATTTCCTACATCCTTAATACCCCCAGTGTCTTCCTCTGTTCTGTCTTTCCTGAAGAGAAGGTTGTCGGCCCTCTCTCTGCCTATTTCCCACATCGTTATTTGTATATGTGTGTTTTTGTGTCACGTTACAATAAATTTAATATTAATAATAATATTATTAATGATATTTCAAGCTGCCATTTACATGTTTGCAATTTCTTTTTCTTAACCGTCGCTGCATTCACTGCAAACCTTGGTATTATCACGCCAGCAACAACGACCGCATGATTCTGGAGAGACAATATGTGTTCAGTGATCGTCATAGCGTAGGCCAAGCAAGGTGCAAGAAAGCGAGAAAAAAAACTGTTGCAACACGCTAGAACCTCAGACAGCTGCAAGCTATAAACTGAAGAAAATTATGATACACGGCGCATGATTTCACAAGAGTAATAATTATTGTTTCACGGTACGTAAAGCCTTCTGAATCGGACATCGTCAAGCATCAACGAAGCCTATTTCCATCTGAGGACCATTCCGCGCTAGACGTGCTAACGGGAATGGCCTTCTGGTGGATGGGTTGATGGAACGTATGCATCCCTTCCTTGGCCCCTTTTGTGGCTACAAACCTTCTTTCTCTAGCGAATTTGGTTTAGAGAGCATCAAATACGAGCTGACACATAAAAAGATATAAAATGAAGCATGCTACGTGCGTCATGTCCGGGCCTGCAAGCGTCAATACAAGTTCAATGAACGAAAATCGCACTTAATTATCAAAATAAGGTTACCAGTCTCACCTTTTACTTCACTGTTCTTAGTCGATTTTTTTTCTCAGGTAGTTCATGTTAAGAGTTAATACAGGTTAATACAGGCTAGCTCAAAACCGGAAAATTCATGAATGCATCGATGATACCACCTTAACTGAGATGACGAAGCATGTATTTGTGTTGGTTTTGTTTCTCTCCGTGTGTGCCTTTAAACCGACAGCCCAACTCTTTCTCGCTCGCTCTGCACCACCTATTTATCTCGTAAAGCAGCTAGGGAGCTGTGACGAAGGCTCTCGTGAGCGTAGCATCTGTCCATGAATGATCACTAGCTACAAAATATGCCCGACATTTAGGGAGGAGCGCGTGCGTGTTTGGGGACACAACAACTTATATAGTAGATACGTTCTGCTGTCCTTCAGCCCTGTTCAGAAGTTCTTTGGCTAAATAGGTGATCAAGAACGGCTGGTTTCAGCAAAGTGGGTCCAGTCGACATTACCGCAAATCTACTGAAGCAGAACGCTTGTCTCTGCTTCTCGGGAAGGTCGTACGAGTTAGTAGAGATAGTTGAGTAGTGAGCAAATGAAATGGTCATTTCTGCACACCAATTTTTAGCAGTGACATACATAATACACAGCGTCAGCACATGCAATGTGCTGTTTGAATATCTTCGCACAGTAACTGAATTGCACGCCCTAAAGACAGCAAGGAAAAAAGCAAAAGCGTCGCTATTACTGGTAACATAGCCAGTAATGGCCAGGCTTTCGGACAAATGTAATCTCCGCCGCGAAATGAGGGCGCAACAGTGTTTGCGAATACTACTCAATATGCCCACTTTACCTATTTTCTTGGTGACATTAGCATTACTTATTGTCCAACTACAGAATTTCTCATTATTGTAGTACAAAGCTCGACATGCATAGCAAGCGGCGAATAACGTTGTTAACGCAACAAAAATGTAATCAAGATGCCAAAAAAGAGCACCCGTAGTATTAGTGTATATGTGCTACCTCCAATGACGAAATTCCGATTTACAGGGGCGTTTCTTTCTGCTCACATCGTGTAAGTAAAAGGGGCAAACAAGATAAACACGATCGATGTCTCAACTCTCCCGTTTTGGTATGAGAGGCAAACTCCCTACGCCCGGACCATACCCACTGTGTTGGACAAGCATCGCACGAGACAGCCCATGTGCATTTTTTCTGGGTGACAAAATGGTCTCTTTTGCTTCTCCAATGCCACAACACACCTTGCGAGGCACAACACGGTGCATACAAGGTTCCTCCTCTCCACCGTCATTAGCTACACACCTCGAATACGTGTTTGGCTTTAGTCGCAGGTTCTGGCATCTGAGGCAACAATTCGAGAGAAGAACGAACTTCGTCCTTCGCCCTGGTAGCCCACTCAAGCACCACCCCTCAAAATGACAAGAAAGGCCACACTTACGGCGGAAGCTCGAACATCCTGACGTGCTTTTCGGAGCCCAGAAAACCGATACTTCAATGGTGAGGCGACAACAACCTAAAGATTGCGTGAAAGAAAAGTTAAGCAAACCGTGGCGGTGACCAACAAAGCAGTGTATTGACGTGAGGAAACCGACAGTAATGGTCACCTGATGAGTCAGGAGCTGCGGCACGGACGGGGAACCGCGTGTCAACCCTGTGGGTGGAGCTGCCTTCCAAGAGCGCTCGTTGCTTTCTTCCTGCCTGGTGGCCTTCTTCGTGTCTGAACCCTGAGCTCCAGCGCGACTCGAGCGCGGTGATGAGAGTGAAGGAAGCCTAACTCTTCTCTCCTTGCCCAC